ACTTCTTCATGGAATGGACGAGTTCTTTTTTCAAGGGGTAAGCTCAACTTACTTAAGCATGTTCTTTCATCCATGAGCACCTATATGATGATGGCTTTTGATTTTTTGAAAAGCACTAAGCATCAAATGGAAAAACTTTTAATGACAATTTTTATGGTTTGGACTTGATGATGATGCAAACACAATTGGGTAGCTTGGCAGGATATCTGCAAGAATATTGAACAAGGTCGCCTAGGTTTAAAGCAGCAGAATGATATTAATAAGGTATTCCAGCTTGAAGTTTTATGGAAAGTGTTGAATATGAAAGGCTAGTGGCCTCAATTTTTCAATCAAAAATGATTGCAACTTTTAAGAAGAACGAGTCTTATAAAGTTCCATTTACCTGGAAGAAAAGTTATTCTCTACTAAGGCAGTTTCATCCATTGTCAACTTGGCAGTTGACACATTAGAGAAAGTAAAGTTAATTTTTGGCTAGAAAGTTGGTATTCTAATTCACCTTTAACTTTGCCTGTCCAAAATCTTGCTGAAGTTGATATCTCACTTATAATATGTGATATTCTTGAACCTTCGGGTCAATGGAATTGGTCATCCATCAATAACACTTTAGATTCTACTATTAAAGTGGAAAGTGAAGCTTTAGGGCTGCAACTCAAGAATGGCTTGAACATTAGAATATGGAAATCTAACACCCAAGTCTCTTTCAGTTGTTGGGTTTACATGGAATAGGTGACCCCCAACGAAAATTTGCTTTCATTGTTGGAAAATTTTGATGGGCGATATCCCTCACTAATGCTGCTATTAGGGACCTTGGAATTCCATTTGCCTTGGGTTGCATCTATTGTAAGGTGAGGAAAATTGAATCAACTAACCATTAACTACCTTTTGGTACCCTTTTTACTAAGATATGGCAACATTTAGGTCAAAACTTGGATATTCCCTTCATTCCTCATCAAGATGCTAAAGATTGAATCCTTTTTTGGTTCAGTTTAGTGGCCAGGTTAATAAGGCAATTATGTGGCAGATGCATTAGCAAAGCTTGCAGTTTCTCAAAGGAAGATGCTCCACTTTTGATCATGTGTCTGTTGTTCCATGTGAGATTAGGTTCTTTATTTCCAAAGATCTTTTGTATTTATCACAAATTAGAGAATTGGCTAAGGGGTTTTGGGATAGAGTGTTTAAGGTGTGAATGGTATCTTGGGATTTGGGGCAAGGTAGGTTACGTCTTGTATCTTCTTTAATTAATTCTATATTGTTTTTACTAAAGTTTTAGGTGGCCGCCCCTCCACCTGGAGTAAAGTTTGGGGTTAAAATAAAACTTACACAAACTTTCCAGCATAACATTAATAAAAAAGTATGAAAGTCAAAACATAATATCATTGTCAAAAATAGTTATAACCAAAATTTAGGAATTTTTTTTATCACTAATAGCATTTGGAATACAATTTTTTTTTCATTTTTTAGATGATACAATATGGTTTTAAAAAATAAAGAAGTAATGGAACAATCAACAACCAATAATTTGACTAATTCATTAATGAGTAACTAATGTACTTTTTAACATAACTAAAATTTGAAACATAAAAATTGAGGACAAATTCAAAGAATTTTATTTTATTTTTCTATAAACAAGTGGGATACAATCTATCTTTTTTTCTTCTTTTAAAACAAAAATGCCCTTTGATTTCCTTGCCATAAATGATCGAAATATTTTGGTGACTTGTGATTGTAAGCGACAAGCAACGATTAATTGTTTGTTAGTAAAGTCTTTCGTTTATGATTGTTTGTTGATTAGAAAGTAAACAACTTTCATTAATCTTCACTTGAAGTGATCTTCAAAAATAAATTTTCATTTAGCTTTAACCATTAGACAATATGTATGTAATCTCAGCTCCAACTGATGTATTGTACATAATTTGTTATTTATAAGAGAATGTTTATTTCATGTGCCATTGGGTTTTTCTACTAAATACACTTAATTCATATTAATATTATGTATAGGACCACATATTTGTTATAATATAGACTTAAAACATCACAACCAATGGATACACTTGGGAAGTCTATCATGACAAGGTTGTCATTCTCACATTGCCCAAGGTAGTGCAGCGATGGGTCTCAATTGCTCATGTTGTGACCTAAGGTGTGAAAATGAATGTTTACAAAAAACATTGAATTGGATCGATCATACCTAAAATGTTTTTGAACTTTCTAACAAGTGGAACAATTGACTGTTGCTTTCAATCCCTAAACTTAACATTGATATCAAATTAAGTATTAGACTTGCCTGTCTTTGATATACCAACTAGTGTCAGCACCTGACTTTTGCTCAATCCGTTTCCTAAAACCCAATTCACACCAAATTCATGATTAGATCATTCTGATCCTTCCAAACACTTAAAAACCCAAAAATCCCAACTTTCAGTCCAAAAGCCCCCATATCCACCGTTAAACCTCTTTGATACCGATTTAGTGGCTACGATAAATCCCTATCAACACCTCAACCACTATATCCGACACCACCATTAGACCCAAGACCTCTCAAAATACCTATCCATAAAATTTCAGCTCAAAAATCCTTTATTTACCCCCTTATCAAACGAAAATTCCATTTCAACCTCTCTCGTTAGCCTAATAGTCAGAACCCAGATTCCCTTAATCTTGACACATCTGAACTAATCAAACCACACCATTAAAACTCTGGATACATCAAAACACCTCCCCATAAAGTTTCAACCCTAGATTCCCTAGTTACCCTTCTATTAGACCAAGATTTTGTTCTAAAACATTTTGTTAATCCAAATTCCTACTAACTTGACCCTTTAATGCTAATCGAACCTCACCATCATATCCTGAAAAGCTCCAAATACCAACCTATAAAATTGCATCCCAAAACACCTTTGCTTACCCCTCCATTGCACCTAGATTTCATTTTGAGACTCTACAAAGATTGGATTCCAAATCTTTGCAATCTGAGCCTAGTTGGCCCAATCTAACTTTACTAATCACCTCAGACTACCCAAAAACCCTACCCTATGAAATTTCACCCAAAACTTCCTTTGTTTGCTCCTCAACCACACATAGATTCTGTTCCGCGGCTCTAGATTAGTCAAATCAAGCCCTTTATAGATTTGCATGATTTATGCCCATTTGGTCCAATCTGACCCCACGAAACAACTCCAAATCTCCAAAAAACCTCACCCTACAAAATTTTAGTCAAAATACCACCATTTATCCATCCATCTAAAAAGATTATGTTTCAGCTAATCACATTAACCTATACAAACAAAATCCCGCTTTGTGGTCAGACCCATCTTAACCCTCCATTTTTTGACCTAAAGATCCCCACCTTTGAACCAAAACCTCAAGAACCTCCTAGACCGATTTAAACCTAGGTTCACAAAAATCCAAAACTATCCTTAAATTTTATGAAAATTACAAAAAATACCCCTAGTGCTCGTTAAAAGTAGCCGATTAATTCATTTCACCCAAATCCCGAAGGAAATCAGGGTTGAAAGCACTATTCTTCCCCTTTGACAGTCGAACCAGCGACGGAGTGAGTTTCTGATATATCCTAGAGGTTTCATCACCTCTCTTTCATTTACTTAATGGATGACAACTCCAAATCTAGCCCAAATGAACCATTTTCTCGACAATCACAATCAGTAAGATCCTTATAGGCCAAATACTTGTATATGTTGGGATATTAAAGAATTATATGTCAACTGGTGATCAATGTGATAGGATTTGCGTTATTATGTTATTAAATAAAGGATTTAAAGTGTTGAAGCCTCATGAAAATCATGTCCATTTAGAGGCCCAAATCAACTAAAGTTATAACACAAGTGTGCATACATTATGTTATCCACGTTTTGCGCTAAATTGTATTATGCAGTTGAGCCCAACATATGAACTGAAATCATGTCATAAATATGTTATGACATCATCATAATTAATTGGCCCATTATGTTATGATGTTAGTTGGGTTGAGCTAATTTGTTTTTATGTTATGTTATGTTATGTCATTTAATTTGATTAAACATGTTGAATGTGTTGGATTTTCCACATGACCAAAAGCATCTGGCTGCGTTGAAAATTTTTGTGACTCTCCTATATGTCATCGGTGGATGCACATCATTCCTACTATATTTTTAAGATCACTTAATGATCCCCCTTGCTGAATTGATCCAATTTTAGATTCCTTACCAAGAGGGACCTCAATGTGACCACTTACCAACTAAACTAATTAGAATCTAACTTTATGAAAGTTAGGGTGTGTTATGGGCCCGCGAATAGGATCTCGTCACGGGTCGGTCCACGGGGAAAACTCTCTGTTTTCCCTTGTTCCTCCCTGCTCTTGATGGACCTATCTARGCGCCCTAATGGTGATTTGTTCAAGAGATCACCTAACTCTCCTTTACTCTCTTTCTTGACTGAATATTCGATATCCTCATTCAATAACGGTGTCTCCTTAAATAGG